TCCCATCGAACAGTGAGAGGTTTTATTTTTTTTATTTTTCAACTGTTGGTAATTGGTAATTGTTTAAAAACCTTTTCTGCAACTCCACAGATCTTATCTAAAATGAATTTTGATAACACCTGAGCTTGGTCCTCAAGTTTGGCCCATTCCCCCTCGTCGCATAGATGTTCGTATGTGATATAATTTTCATCTGCATCTGTTGCATGCTGGGTGCTTTGCTGTTGGGGGTTAGGTGTCCATTTTATTAGTTTTGGCTTGCCTGTAGAATTTTTACCCAATAGTTGAGGGAAAACCTAACTGCAGGTACTTGGTGGGTGCTTGAGAAAAGAGTTCAGCTGAGCCCAGGGGGTGAAAAGGGCAGGAAAAGGGGAGGGTGGGGACAGTTTGGCAGGATTCTTCAGCTTTGGAGAAGAACACTTTGGGCACAGAGCTGTTGCGGTGGGGAGAAGGGAATCTCGCCATCACGCAGATGGAGCTGCTGCTTCTTCTTCTTCCCTCTTTGTTGGTGGCCTCGTACCCCCTGTCCTGCCACGGAGCTGCTGATACACCTCAGCCACCGGCCCAGGATCTCTGCTCATCCCTGCTGTTCCAGCTGAGTGTTCCTCAGAGCCCTGCAGGAGCACCGGGACTGCCTGCCCAAGGGGGTTTGTGAAGCAAAGCCTCTCCTCCATCCCTTCCCGTCTCGGCTGAGAAGGCTGTCACGGGATCCCTGGTTCTGTTTTCTTGCTAATGCTGTAGTTATTGTTGTTTATTTGCCTTGTTATAAATATTAGTAAAGAACTATTATTCCTATCCCCAGATCTCTTCCTGAAAGCCCCTTGATTTCAGGATTATCATAATTCAGAGGGAGGAGGTCTACATTTTTCATTCCAAGGGAGGCTCCTGCCCTCCCTAACAAACACCTGTCTCCCAAAACTGAGACATTTGCTTAAGCTCAACCAGGAGTCCTTTTAAAGATCTCTTCCACATGCTTTCTCAAAGACTGAACTCTGAGTGGGTTAGGAGACACCAGAAGAGATCTCAGAGGTCGGCTGGAACTAACTCATTGGAAGTTAGGGTAGCTCTCATCATTCCCTTAAAGACCTCACTTCTTGGGCCAAACTCCCCTTGGGCCTTACAGATCTCTTTTATGTTTTGGTAGGAGAAAGGCTGGTAGTGTCTATTTGCCCTTTTCTTAGCAATATATATGACAGGAACGGCTGAGGGTATGGCTTCCTCTTCCTGATCCCCAGGGTCCCCATCCCCAGGGTCCCCCCCAACCCCTACCCCGGCGAGTACCAGGCAGGGTCCAGCCTCCCTGTTCTGGAAGGCAACCCACCCCCCACAACTGGGTCTGGGGAGGGGCCCAGCCCCCTCTCATCCTTGAGTCCAGGAGGGGGGCCAGCCCCCCCAACATGGGAACAGGGAAGTGACACTCACCCCATTGTGGGAACAGGGCGGTGACCCACCCCCTCCACTGTGGGAACGGGACAGGGGACTGTGTGGGAACCAGCAACAGGAAAGGGGGTGGGGCAGTGTGGGGATGGGGAGAAGCAACCATGGAAATCAGGATTGCAATACCTGGAGGCAGGATTTCATGATGACATCATGCAGATGAGACCATGGTGGACAGCGAAGGAGCATCCAAGGGAAGGAAGGGGTTGTGGGAAGGGACGTGTGGGTAAAAGGGACTATGGGAGGAAGAAAGGTAAGATGGAGGGTCCACCATGTGGCCGGCACCATCCTGGACCCTGGCCACCTGGTCACAGCTTTGGGGATAGGGCGGGTCATCACTTTTAAAGCTAACAGAATGCCAAAACCAAGGAGAAGCAACCGGGGTAGAGGGATGCAGGGAAGGTTCTCTGTCAGTCTGTGCACAACTGCTAGAGCTGGGGTGCTGAGCAGGAGGCAGGGAGCCAGGACAACAGCGGCTGCACTGGGTGTCCTGCACCTCTCATGATGCCCATGTAGCCTTTCAAGCAAGGCAGACACCCTGGTTCATAGCCAGCATGGTGGCCCCCCTTGGCCACTCGGACCATTCTACCTACAAGACATCAATGTGATGGATGGCGAAGAAAAGTCTTTTATTGTAGGAGAATTTGACATTTTATAACCTAGGGTCACTGTGTTACTCCCATCTGCTTTCATCACAGCTAGGTGCTATTGGCTAATTGCAGGAGTCATTACCATACTCTGTGGACAAGGGGGGTTACTAACTTTCCGTTACATCCTGAAATCTTCTGTGCCGCCATGCCCTACTGCTACATGCTCATGCATCCCCTTCAGCTCAAGGGCAGAGGGTTTGGGAGAATGGGTAGGAAAACTGGGGGAGTTTGCTGTGACTGTCCCTTCACTTCCCTGTTAACCAATTCTTTACGAATTAAAAGAAACAATGGGTGGAACTTAGAAGTAATTTTGTCTACCTGTTCTATTTTGAGTTAATAGGTTTCCAATTCTGTCCCAGGAAGAGACAGAATCTACATCTTGCAGGGTGAACTGGGCAAGTGGAGGGATAGCTAACAAACAAACAATTTTAACTGTGTCCTAGAAATCTTAACATTCCCACCATTTAAAGTTTCCCAAACTTGGGAATAAATACTCCTTTCCTGTGCAGAGAGCTGAGAGCCCATTGTGATGTTAAAAGCTATCTGTACAGTACAATCTATCCTCCTTTACAGCAAAACTTCACAGCCAGCCCTGGAAGGCTTCTGCCGTTTCCCCCCCCCTCCACTGGAGTAAGAGGTGAGACTGTGTGGCAGCGAAACCATCTGCCGGTTTTCAAACCGCAACCATACGGGAGCACCGCTGATGCTAAAACTGTGTGGCTGGAGCCATGCTCTGGTGATATATAACTGAGTCCCCAAGCTCTCTGTTACCACTGTCCACCCTGCAGCGGGCAGGGAGGCTGGGGAGGTAGTTTTGGCTTGCCAGACGAGGCCCTAGAAACGAGGCTCTTTCCCTTTGCTGAGATGGCAGTTGCAGTTTTATTCCTTGGGATCCTTCGGAGTGAGATGGCAGGAGGGAAAGAGGAAGAGGTATGAGAGGCACCCCTTGTTCAGGACAGGGGAAGGGGTTGTAGGAATTTATACAACCAATAAGGGAACCTGGGGAGAACAAGATAAGGGAAAGAACTTACAAGTCTACATTTTTGGGGGTACATTCTTTGGGTCATACCATTTTTCCTAACTGCATTACAACACTCTGGAGCCCCTGCCACAGAAACTGCATGGCTGGTGCCACACGCTGCAGCTGAAAACCATGGCTTGCACCACACTGCCACCCCCACCGCGCAATGCTGCCAAACCTGTGTGGCTTGAGCTGCATGTGAGCGCTGCTACATGTGGTAGCCCACCTGTGCCAGAGCAGCGCTCGCCCTGCACCTGCCACCTGCACTGGCAAAACTGAAACCGCATGGCTTGTGCCTGCCCGCGCCCCACCTCCGAAACTGTTGGCTGGAGCCAAAAACCGTGTCTCCCTCCTGCATAGCACCCAAAACCTCACTAACTGGGAGTCACCTCGGAGTTACCACTAACGCTCACAGAGGATACTCACCCTGTCCTGGCACCTTGGCTGGCTCTGGCTGCTCTATAGGAAGTCCTTAGTCCTGGGACTGACCTTTCCTGGGCTTGGGATAGGCTGCCGGTCTCATCCTTGCAGTTGCGGCTGTGCAAAAAGCAACTCGCTGCTAACAAGATATCTGATGCAATAGTAGACAAGGATTTACTGGCTGAACATGGTGTGAAAACTGAGATTAAGGCTAGACAACTGCTACAGTACACATGGTGTCACCTTGAAAATCCATGAAATCAGAGAGAATTGGAGTGTCGTAATCCTTTCTTCCCCCTCCCATGGGTTACCCTAGTGCACTGGAGAGGGGGGAAGGTCCAACAAAGACAAAAGGTAAGAGACAAGGAGGCTCCTTCTCCACAGGATGCTGTCCCACACTTTATTTGTGGAACGAATTCCAGAAGGAAGAGAGAGTGAACAATAGGTAGTGGGAGATTTTAAACTGGGCAGAAGGGGGAGAACAGAATCACAACCAATGAGATACAACTGAAGGGGTGGTGCTGCCTCAGAATGAGGTGTAGCGACCCAGTTCGTGAATGACACGACGGCTAAACTTACAGGCCTGTCGGGCTAATCACATGCGAACACCAATGTGGTGGATGGTGAAGAGCATTTATTTCCGGTGTGCAGGGATTTATATGACCGAGATATGATGATGTCATCACCGTGACATTATGGGTTATAGAACTTTGGAGAAAGAGGAGCCCTATCTTCCCGTACAACGTGAGATCTTCCGATCGGCGTTCCCTATCTGACCTCATCATCTCTCCCCGTCTCCATGAACAGAACTTTACAACTGAATGACTTATGTAATTAACAACAAACCGTGAACTTGTTAGTAATGAACGTGAAATGAAACCGTGGTGTGTTAGTATGAACTATCATGCAAACTCAGGTTAACTGTCTCTGTTCTAAATATAAAATGTCAATCTTATCTAAACGGGTTTTTATAAACTGGGCTAACTTATTAAGGAGACAAGGACCAAAAATAAGTACGAACTCAACAACGATAACTGGTCCTGCTAACGTGGAAACAAGGGTAATAATCCATGGGGATTGGTTGAACATTGAACTAAACCAGTTTTGTTGAGAGTGTTGCTGGCTACGCTGTTCAAGTCTTTGTTGTAGCTCTGCCATGGACTGCTTGATTGGCCCGGAATAATTGGTATAGAAGCAAAACTTCTCGTCCAAGGCAGCACACAGACCTCCTTGGTGCATGAGTAAGATGTCCAGTCCTCGTCTGTTCTGCAGCACGACCTCTGCAAGGGAGTTGAGGGATCGCTCCAAGTTGGAGATGGATTCTTGGATTCTGTGCAGGTCTTCATCGACTGTTGTCTGCAGTTGGGCTAGACCTTGGTTTTGAGTCACCAGGGCTGTGACACCTGTCGCTGCGCCTGTTGCTCCTAGACCTAAAAGTACTGCAAGGCTGACGGCGGTGATTAGTTCTCGTTTTTGGCATGGGAAACCTCTCTCCTGGTGGTAAGGTAATTCGTCTCCAGGGAAGTAAAGGATCCTAGGGATAATAACCACTTGGACACAGAAATCGTTAGTTTCATCAAAGTGTTTGATGGAAATACATGGGGTGATACCTGTGGAGCTACAGGCCCAAATTCCCCAGGTTGCTGGAATTACCCAGGACTTGGTCTTATCCAGAGTCACAGGAGCACCACAAATCTCTTCATGGCGTTGTATTGCCTGTCTGTTGCCTATGCAAACACCTTTGCCCGAAACTTGCTCTAGTGTGATTCCCTTGCGAGGGGTGTTCCACAAGCATCGCTTGGGGTCATTCACTCTGGAGTAGCTGAACATGGCATTAAGGGCTACCCCTTCGTAAAAGGGTGGGTAGGCATCATAGCAAAGCCAACAAGAACGGGTAAGGTCTGGCTTTGTTGCATTTAGCAATAGAAATGCGGCATTTAGCATGCGATGAAAGAGGGCATGAGACGTCAGTTTGAGCGCACCATGAAGTGCTGATGTGGCACTAGTGAGGCTAGGCGTGGGATTGCTGTTTATGTGATTGTATTGTTGGGCTACAACTCTGTTGGGTCCGAGAGCGGTGTGGTGTGGTGGTGAAGCTCTGATAATTTGAACGATCGTGTTCGGATCTGTATCCCAACTATGAAGGAATACTGACCACTTTCATCCTAGCAACCAGTTGGTGTCTTGAGGTTGCAGGACTGCTACATTTAGGTGGGAACAGCTTCCTTTAGCAGTGACCATACCTCTCTTTCCAAACATGGGCCGCTTGCAGACTTTGGGCCAAAAACACACGTCTAGAAAACTATCTCTCCTAGCTGGTGTCCACTGGTTAGTGGTGATGATGGTTTCACAACCCCAGTACCCACAAAACCCATACCCAGGATAGGTGCAATAGCTTTTACCGGGGTTGACACTAGGACACTGTAAGAGACGGTCCGAAGATTCCCTCATCTGTCTCACAACCGTCTCAAGGACAGAGACTGAGACCCTGAATATCACAAGGGACTTGGTTTCGGGGGTTTAGGCCTAGCTGAGATGGATGTTTGCTAAGTGATTGTTTGCAGGTGGTTGCATGGTACACTGCTCTCGTTCCTGCTGGTGAGCAGAGGCTTGGTAACCTGCGCAACGGGTTTTTCACGACTCATGGCTCTCGTTCCTGCTGGTGAGCAGAGGCTTGTGCATGGTACCCTGTGCAATGGGTTTTACACAACACCTTGCCCTTGTTCCTGCTGGTGAGAAAAGACTTGCAAGACATGGATCGCTCTGTACCCTACACCTGCTCCCCATGCAATGGAATTCATCACAATGATCATCAATCTCCTCTGGTTTTGGCCCTGCGCCCCTCGCTTTGCAAAAGACTATAAAATTATACCCCAAACTTACCTTCCTTTGAGATCTCCCCAACGGACAGAAGACTCTGGGTTGTTGGACGGCTGAGTGGACTTCGACGTTGGTAGCTATAATCCCCTTACTCTCTTTTCCTTATGCTTTGCTTTCTCCTCTTTTCTCTCTATCGCATATTAGTGCTGATGAGCACTCAATAAAGTGTGTTTTGTTGTTTAAGTCCTTGGTTTGTTGATAATCTTTTGTACTCTAAGACCGACTAAAAGAACCACATCACGAATCCCACCTTGTGGATCGTGACAGACACCAGTATGTTCCCCAATTAATGTAGGCAAAAGGTTTTCCCTGACTAGGGTCAATTCCTATTCCATCGGTGTTAAATATATCACTTATGTGAACGATGAAGCTAGGGGCATTAGACACAGTTTGGGCAATTACTCTACCGTCCAAGGGATTGCGAAGTGTCCAGGTGCACGGCCGGTAAGGATTCACATCCAGTTCTTCCTGTCCAATGCAAGGCAGGCTTAGAAACAGGAAAACACAAAGGCACAGACGCTGTCGTGAAACTGCTAATGTCCATGTCGAGGACAAGAAGCAAGGTCGACGTGGAGGATTATAGTGGCTGACCTGTCAAAAGAAACTTTGAGGTTTCATTAGTTAAGTTATACAGCACAGGCTTTATTGATTTTAATGGACACCACTTAATAATGTTATCTTTCTCCACTGTGGTATACCCTCGACCTGTCAGGACCAATTTCCACCCCGATTCCCAATCTCTCAATTCATTTCTAATTTTAACTGGTGGGCCTTCTTTCAGTGCTTCGGTGGCCCAATGCTTTTGGGAAGGGGTTTGCGCTTGATCTCCCCTGGGTAACTGGTTCAATGCTAGCATGGCGGTGGCTAGCAAGTGTGGCTGTTCTGGCAGAGGGATGTTATTGGTAAACCCTTCTGCTTTGGCTGAGGTTTCTAACTTAGATTTCAAAGTTTGGTTCGCTCTTTCCATGATGGCTTGACCCATGCTGTTGTACGGAATGCCCTGTTTTAGGGTGATGTTCCACTTAGTTGCGAACTCTTGAGTTGACTTGGCAATAAAGTTTGTGCCGTTGTCTGTTTTGATTTGTTTTGGAATGCCAAGCCATGCCATAGCTGTTAGCCAATGCTGAATCGTTGCCTTGGAACTTGTCTTTGCATGTTGGGTTGCAACGATCATGCCGCTGTATGTGTCTACTGTTACAGCAAGCCAAGCTCGAGGCTTCAATATTTGGCAGAGGGTAAAATCTGTTTGCCAGATCTTGGAGGCCTTGAGGCCTCTGGGATTGATCCCACTAGACCACAAGGGTGCTTTCTGACAATGAGGACAAGTAGCCACTATGTGCCTGGCGTCTGCTATTGAGATGTTGCATTTCTTGACCAGTGCCTTGGCTCCAACATGGAGTGACTCATGTAGTTGTCACGCATCTTGTAAAGTCCAAAGCCCTTTCGCTGCAGCATCAGCCTTGTCATTGTCGATTTGAAAAAATCCCTTAACGGGGTTATGGCTGTTGACGTGTATCACAGATACGGTGCCTTGGTGTGAGAAAAGTACTTCTTCTATCATGGCAGTGGCAGAGGATGCTGAAATGCCTGGTCCAGACATCACTTGACAGAGCCTGGCGATGAACATGGAGTCTGTTACGATGTTAAGGTGGTCTGATGGGAACAATCCACATGCCAATACCGCAGCGGAGGCTTCCAGGAGTTGGACAGACAGCGACTTGTCTCTCATTTTCACGCATTGCCATTGTTCTTGTGTCCGCCACACCACTGCTGCGGTAGAGGTGGCTGAGGATGCATTGGTGAAAACAGTTGGCCCAGGGAGTGGCCAGTCCATGACCTTCTGTGGGAGGTCAACGTCTGCTATCGCTAGCAGCTGAGTCCATGGAGGTTTAGTGGCGTAGCAGAGCTCTCCTGCAAATCCAAAAAGTGCCAAAGCAAGATGTTCTGAGATTGCTACCGACGATGTCGAGATCTGCTTCCGGAAACGCAAGTATATTTTTGCAGGCTTGAGACCTAGGCAGTTCAGGGCAAGCCTTCTGCCCTTCATGGTGAGGCTTCCGAGACATTCCAATCCCGGGGTAAACGCGTGTGAGGCTCTTCCAAGAGTCATCCATTGTACCGGTTGCACTTTATCGGGAGGTCCTTGTGCCAATGCTCCTACTCCCCCCTCTCTGGTAAAATCTACGTATAAGTCCAAAGATAGATTTGGGTTCCATCTAGAGAGAACTGTCGTGGACAACTGCCGTTTGATGAAATCGAGTGAGCGCATGGCTTCGTTTGAGAGGGTTTTGGGCTCCCACGGATGTTTGCCTTGAAGTAGCGCATACAGCGGAGACATGACTTCTGGTGGGATAAGGATGACATTTCGCAACCATTGTAAGGATCCCACTAACTGTTGCACGTCGTGCAGCGTCTTGAGGTTGCGACAAATCTTGACTGCTGGGGGTGTCACATAGGAGCTGGTGATTTTCATGCCTAGGAATGTGACAGAAGGACCTTTCTTTATTTTTGCCTCTGCTGTTTCAAAGCCATTGGTCTTTAGAACCTCGGAGATGGCTAACACAAGATTTTCCACACAGTCTGGCATCGGCGCTGCAACAAGGATGTCATCCATATATTGGATGATAGTGGCTTCTGGGTTCGCGGATCGAATGGGCACTAGGGCTCAGCTCACGATCTGGCATATGGTTGGAGAGTTGATCATTCCCTGAGGAAGGACTGTCCAGTAGAAGCACAGATTGGGCTGTTGACCATTAGGGAACACGACAGAAAAGGCAAAATGTTCTTTGTCCTGGTCATGCATGGAATGGAAAAGAAGCAGTCTTTGATATCGAGTACCGCACACAGTTGGTCTGTCGGGACAAAAGAGTTAGCAGGTAGCCGTGTCTGTACAGGACCCATCAATTTTTCTGTTGACAGCGCGTAGGTCATGAAGCAAACGAAAGCCTTCACCGCTGCGTTTAGGTATCATGAACACTGGTGTGTTCCATGGAGAGGTGGATGGTTCAATGTGTCCTCTTTCTAACTCTCGCTGGAGCAATTGTAAAAGGATTGACATTCGAGGCTCAGGGATGGGCCACTGCTTGACCCACACTGGGTCAGATGATTTCCAAGTTAACTTGATCGGGGTTGCGGTTGATTGTGGGTATGCGGCAGTGGCCCTTAGGGTAAATTTGTCACCCTAATTCTTAGTTGTGATAGAGCGTCTCGTCCTAACAGAGGTGGGACGTTTGACAGGACATAGACACGAAGGCTTACAGTCTTCTCAGGCCCTTCTTCGGTATGCAGGGTTATTGCTATGAACTCTACGCTCCTTTTGGCGAGTGAGACTCCTCCGACTCTGCCTACGGTTGGGGCTTCTTCTACTTCCCAGCTTGGAGGCCAATACGGTTGTGGGATAACAGTCACATCAGCACCTGTGTCTATCAGGAAAGGGACGCTGATCGTGAGGCGGTTCGGTGGATTTTTCCAGGAGCCTGTCGTGGAGCAACAAGTAAGCTGTTGGCAGATTCCCCATACTACTGGGGGGCTGTTGCATTCCACTGCCAGGGCCACCCAAGGGTTCCCTTTTCCACATTGCTCTGTTGTCCTGTGGGCATGGTTGATCTTTGTGCAATGGGCACTGGCTGAGCAATAAAGTTGGTTGCTTCTCGTGGAGGCATCGGGTTCGGAAGGTGTTTGCCCCATTTGGGGTTCCCATAAGTGGGCTGCCGAATGACCCAACTGGGAGGGGGCCTCGCGCGGCCCATTGGTCCCCTCCCCTGCCCGTTTCCCTGCTTCCTAGACCTACACTCTCTGGCAACGTGTCCTTTTTTGCCACAGACCCAACACGGTCCTCTGGGTTTGCCTTGTGGTGACGGGTCAGAGGTTGGCTGGTTGTGGTTGTGCTGGCTCTGAACAGCCATGACCTCCGCTACAGCAGCGTGGACTGAACCTAGGTGTTCTTCCCTTGCTACATGTTTAATCATCGCCGCAATACTCGAGTTGGGCGGCAGTGAGCGCAAAATTTCTTTGGTGGCTAGATTGCATTGCTGGCGCAGACAGTCGGCGACGACTGGGCCTTTGGCTTCTGCTGGCAGGTTGGAAGCATCTATGGCAGCCTGAAGCCGGTCTACAAATTGAGTAAAACTTTCACTCTGTTTCTGCCTCATTGTAGACCATGGGGCAGGTTTGGCAACTACCCTGCAGACCGTACGAATGGCTTCTCGGGCCTCATGAGTTGTGACTGCGACCTCTGGGGCTCTCAAGTTCTGGGCTTGAGCTTGAGGTGTGACCATTGTTGGATGCCTGCCTGTCAGCCGTTGTAAGCTGGACCCCTGTAGCGGATGGTTGTCCCCTGCTATTTTTGCTAGCTCTTTTGCGCAATTGTCTTCCCACTCTTGCCTAAAAACTATCATCCCAGCACCATCAAAAATCATCCTGCATGTCTGTTTGATATCAAAAGGCAACATGTCGTCGTTACCAAAGAGTCCATCAATTAAAGTAGAAACCATAGCAGAATTTATTCCTCTTTCTGAAATGGCTTTAACAAGTGCTTGCACATCCTTGGGGTTAACAGGGGAATAGGTCTTTTGACCATTCATTTCTCTCATAGGAAATGTGAGATTCTCATCTGTGAATGTGAAATTCTCACTGTGGGAGAAGCCCATTCAGCACATGCCATTTGGATGTCCTTCCAGTCTGTGAGTGGCGTGGATTCTTGTGGGAATGATGTCACAGATCTTTTAGGCTTAATGAAATTTATTTGCATGTTTTCAAAGTCCGAGTCCGAGTCAGAGCTCAAGCCGGATGCATGTCTAAATGGCCCCAGTCCCTTTCTGAATTGGTGGAGGAAGCCAAGTGGTAGTGGGCTTCCGGGCTGCGGTGCTTTTTGGTGGGACTCTGCCCTCTCCCTTTCCCAGGGATGGGTTTTTCCCCTCCCTTTCTCCGCCTTCCTTCCAGCGGGTTCTTCTCATTACAAGGAGATACTCTAGGGCACGATCCCTGATTGGACTGTGAGCTCTCCTCCCCTTCACCCTCGGCGCTGTCCTCCTGCTTCCCGTTAGGCTCCCGATCTCGTATGTCCGCGTGCGTTAGGCACCCTTCGCTCCGCCCCTTGCTCCTCTCCCCGGCGCCATTTTGCGGCGCGTATGGCGGAGGCCTTTCTCCGACATCTCCAGGGCCCGCGGTGTCGGGCGCGCCCCATGGCTCAGCGGCATCGGTATGCCCTGGTGGCAAAGTGTGCTCCGCGGCCAAACCCGCGTTAGAGTCGGGCAGGCAGGACGGCGACTCGAGTCACCCGTCATCATTAGATGGCCAGTTAGAATCGGCGGGGCAGTCAGTGAACGTGGTCTGAGTGGCAGCTCCTACCCCCACCCGTGGTGTAACTCTAAAACAGCTTTGAGCTGCCTTCCAAGTTTCTTGTTCCTGAATTGCTTTCTGTAGCGCTTGCGTAACTCTCACCCAGCTTGTAAGGTACTTGCTGGACTTGAAGCACAACACATCATTCGTGAGCGCCTCAGTACACCTAACCCAGCAATCTGGATGTAATATATCTATGGGATCATTGATAATGCATAATTCTAACAATCTGACAACCACGCATTCAAAATCCTTTGATTTGCAGTCTATACCCCACTGCTTGTGCAGTTGCGAAACTACCTTGCCAAGTGACTGCATCTTGGTGGTACGGGAGCGTCCTCCCTGCTGAAGTCGGTCCTGCCGCTCCAGCTGTCCCTCAGCGTCCAGCGAGACTCCCGAAATCCGTCCGCTCGAACCCGTGTATCGGGGAGCAGTCCCGGGTTTCGGCACCACTTGCTGCCTCAGAATGAGGTGTAGCGACCCAGTTTGTGAACGACACGACGGCTAAACTTACAGGCCTGTCGGGCTAATCACACGCGAACACCAATGTGGTGGATGGTGAAGAGCGTTTATTTCCGGTGTGCAGGGATTTATATGACCGAGATATGATGACGTCATCACCGTGACATTATGGGTTATAGAACTTTGGAGAAAGAGGGGCCCTATCTTCCCGTACAACGCGAGATCTTCCGATCGGCGTTCCCTATCTGACCTCATCAGGGTGGGGTGAGGGGAAGAAACCAGCACCACAAACTGGGGGGGGAGTACAGGGAAAACCATTTCAGTGCAAATATAATAACCAACTTAGTGCAACACAACACTGGAGAGCTGGGCAAAATGCAATAATTGACGAGCTGGAGCCTCACCAAGGGTCCTATTGCTGGAAGATGGCAAGAAAATCAGGGAATAGAGGACTCCAAGAAGGAGCTACATCTGGCTTTGCAATTATATGTGCTTGGGTAGTATTCATCCCTTTTGTAATTACACATAGGACATAGTGCCAAGGATTAATTTGTTTCACTGTGGATTCTGTGTAAATTTATCTCTGGTGTAGCTCTGAGGCATGTTAGTGTATATTTATATTCAGCTTTAGTGTAAGATTAGAGAAAAAAGGGAATTAAAAGGCACCAAAAAACAGACTAAGTGCCAGAGAGTGCAACACACATTGAGGTGACTTTATGCATGATACATTTCCTTCTGGTTTAGTTGACCATCTCTTCCTCATCTTGGAGAGTTTGGGGATCTAAATTAATGATTTTCATACCTAAACTAGCACATTTTCATGTTGCTTGTTAATTTATTATTAGACTATTTTTCTTTTCCAAAGGAAAATGCCTGTATGTAGCAATGTAGTAGAAAGTGTTCAACTATCACAACTATTTTGTGTTCCAGATAACAGAATCACAGAATTACTTTTGTGGGGAGGTTGTTTCCACATGGTTGACTTCAAGGTTTGCTTCAACTTCCAAGTTAGATCAGATTGGCTAAATCCTGTCCAAGGATGGGGTATTTCACAACTTCTTATGGTTCCAGTGTTTGATTGTGGAAGATCAGACAGCTACAGAAGTTGAGCTGGGTAGTGCTGTTGACTTCTTTGCCCTGGTACAGTGGAAGCCATGGGACAGATAAACTCAAGGCAAGAACAAAAGTGAAGACATCATGTCTGGTCACACTGACCACTCTGATGAGAAAAGATGTAACAAGGACATTGCTGTTCAAGAATGATAACTGAGAAGATTGTGTTACCAAGGGAACAGGGGCAAAGGGGTCTGAGTGGAAAATTTTGTACAAACTTATAGATCTATAAATACTAGTGAACTTGTGTAATAAACTGGCTTTGCTTGCATAGCATGGTCTGTGTCTCTCAATCCCACATTTGATAACTCTTTTTGTTTGTGAACTTCTTCTGATGTGGTGGTTGACAGCATTAAGATTAAGCTTTGAGTTTCCTCTTTGGATGGTAAAACAAACCCACCTCTCAGCCTCTTCTCTCAGGTACCATGGCAACCCTATCTTAGTAGCACTCCACTGGACTCATTCCAGTGCATCTGTGTCTTTCCTATGCTTGGGAGCCCAAACTGGGACACAGTAATTCAGATTTAGCCTCAGTAGTGGAAAACCAAGAGGAGCAATCCCTTTCTGATACAGGATGGAGATCTTGGTAGTAAATGTCCAAGATGTTAATGATGCTGGGATACAAGGCTGTTTTTGTGAGAAATATGGATCCTAACTAGTAGCCCGAGTGCT